TATAATACTATATATATATATATAGAGAGAGAGAGAGAGAGAAGCTAGGTTCTACCGATTGAGTTATTAATCTGTTTGAATGGGTTACTGAGAGAGCAAGTTCGTTATTCGGTTAATGAGTATCAGTGCTTGAGAATATAACCTAATAAACACAGGCAAAGTTGATAAATTCAACAATACTTTGAAAGAACACATAACCTAAAGATTTAATAGGTTTTTAAATATATCTCAAATTTAATTAAAAGGTTTGCTCTTTTTTTGTTATTTGACATGATTGTTCACCATATAGCGTGATTATTTGCATGCACGTGTTTAAACATTTGAATTGGTGTTTAAATATAATAATTATTATATTACCTTAATTTATTACGAACCGCCAAACATCAAATCCATTGTCCAGCACGTTAACCTCTAGCCACAATAATATAGCTATATCAACCATTTTTAGATGTTGTTTCAGGTTATAGTCGACATAATTTAATTGTAAAAAAAAAAAAAACCGAAGTTAGTGAATTAAAACCAATTAGACAATTTTATTTATCTGAAAATCCTTGTATATGAAAGCGTGTTAAAATAACACGTGTTTAATTTGTGTTTCTTTACAGAAACATTTCAATTGTGACAACCTACAAAAGAGCTGTCCTGATTGTCAAAACATACTTAAAGACATGAAAAAATTTCACGAAGAATTGAAGAAGATTCTTATGGAAGATGAAAGAGCTCGTGCCCATTTCATTGATGCATTTCCAATTTGGATTACTACACGAAATAAATCTATTAAATCTTTGAAAAAGATAAATACTGAGTTGAATGAGTCCAGACTGGGTGTAAATATCTCAAACATCGTTGGTTCATCTGTTGGTATAGTAGGTGGCAGTATGGCGATTGTCGGACTGGTTTTAGCTCCTGTTACTGCTGGTCTCTCGTTAGGTTTAACTATAGGTGGCGCTTCGTTAGGAGCTGCTGGCGGTTTAACTGCTGGTGGAGCAAATGTTACAGAATTAATCATCAATAAAAATAAATGTCAAGAAATCAAAGAAACTCTGGATAAAGACAAAAAAGAAAGTGACGAACTTTTTAAATATATGAAAACCCTGAAACGTTGTGACAATAACCGCGAGAAACTTCTGATAGAAGCAAAAGAGTTTATAGATATTGTTGAGAATGGAGTAAACACTGGTAAGTCACTTATGGGACAGTTAGGAAAAGTAGTAGAATTTTTACAGAACTTAGCCAATCTTGAAGAAGTAACATTGGAGAACGCTAAGAAAGTTTTTGAAAAAACATTTATGAATTCACCAGCAAATAGTACACGTGAAAGAAATACTCTTTCTGACCGTGCTGGTGATCTTAACTTACTTTCGAATCTGATCGTCCAAGGTTTCAGTCAAGGAGGGAAGTTTTCTAAGCTAGCACTTGCAGCTCCTACTTTACCTCGAGCTGTTCCTATCGTACTTGGAGCTGTGGTTATTGCTCTTGACGTGGTTAACCTGGTTCTTACATCTGTGAATATCCATAATGGTAATAGAAATGAGCTTCAAAATCGTATAGGTGAAGTTATCCAAGAAATTACTGTTGAAAAAGAAGAGATTGTAAAAGTCCATGAACATATTACAGCTTGATGTCAGTGTCCAGTTGTAGTCTCAGTACAAAAAGGAAGTTGCAGCAAAGTGAAGTCGACAGATCGTCAACAATAATTAATTCTTCAAACATAAATATTTGAGTTACGACTTCGTCAAATATACAAAAAAAAAACAACAACTATAGTTTGATTATAGGAAGGGCTGTTGCTGGACACGCTGTCTTTGAAAAATGAATGTTGACTGGCCTTCAGGGTTACATCACATAACATTGGAAGAAAAAGTAAACTCTTTCTACGTTTAATTTCTATTCTTTAAACATTTTTGTTTTGTTTTACTCATTTTTGTGACAATGAAGAAATTCTTAGTATCGTATCACGTATATTAATTCCGTACTATGTTATTAAACTGTGAGAAAAACTAGTTATTAGATAAATATGAGAATTAGAACAGTTGACCTACAATTATACTTAAATTGTATTTCAAGTCAGAAGATTCGTGTAAGCTAAATATTGTTTAAGTAAATTTCAGTTTACCATGGCTTATTGTTATTGAAGTTGATTTTATCGTTTACCATATTTAGCCTTCTTATTTGCCATATCTGGCAATCGTATTTTACATTGTACTAGAACTAATCAACTAAAGATACTGAAAGATGTAAAAAATTCCATCAAGAGTATAAAAAGATAACCACTGAAGATACATAAAATTACAAATGTTTTGGAACACATTACCAAGTCTTGCTTTTGATACTGAAAGAGTACTAAAAAAGGGATAAATTATATAGCCAGATTCTAGCTAAAACCAGATTTGAAATATTATTTCAAGTCTTTTTGGTTCATCTGTTATTTTTATTGGTTTCTTGTAGTAGCCTAATATATGTTGTCGTCAGGCTTACTTATAAGAGGCTTAGCTTTAGGAACTGCTAGTAGTTGGACTGCAGGGGTATCAAGAATTGTAGAAATGTTTATCGGTAAACGTACACGTGAACATATCACAGATATTCTGAAGGAAGATGAGAAATACACTATATATTTATTACAAGACACCCGTGATAACAAATGGACCATGATGCTCTTGGCTGAGGTAGAAGAGCTAATAGAAATATATATATATATTATGGGACTGTGGCTTATTAAAAATAAACTACAGATTTTCAATGAATTAACACCGATAAATGGTAGAAAAATATTTGTAATGAAATGTTAACAGAGCGTATGGTCAGGAAAATAATGAGTGCGAGTTTGTCTTTACGTAAGTTCTCGAAACAAGTGGTCACAACCTTTCTGAAGTTGGAAAAAGTCCTAAGTTTGTGTTCTTAAGATGACATTTCGTGCCGTATCAATTGTTTTAGGAACTAGCGTAGACAGTTTGCGGTGTCTTTAAAAGCTCTAAAAGTGACTCAGTAGATCACGTGGTTGAAGTGCTTCAGGAAACAATGCTTGAAGAACGATGACATAACAGACTTATATATATATATTCATATCACAAGTACGATCTGATTAATATCGTGCATTGTGAACTTTTAAAAGGTACCCCGAAATATGTTTAGTTCCAAAACAAGACTCATAAAATATGAGAGCATTTCCATGTCGTATTTTCCAAAACTGAAATATTTCTTGAACTGGCAAGGTAGATGAAAATGATGACAATTCAATTTTGAGGAGGACTGAGTAAAGTTTCAAAAGTAAGTGTATGTAGTGCTCTAATTGTTTATATCATAACAGGTAACAGTGTGTTATATTTTTTAACACCTATATAGTGCTCTAATTACTTGCTTCATAAAAATAGCAGTGTGTTATATTCTCTTAACACCTATATAGTGCTCTAAATGTTTATTTCATAAAAATAAGTGTGTTATATTATCTTAATACCTATATAGTGCTTTAACTGTTTATCTCATAAAAAAATAACTGTGTTATATTCATAGCTTCATAAACACTGCTGTAGTAGTTTAAGGTGTCTCCCCCTTCCCTTCTCAACCCCTTCTTCAAAAACAAAACAACACTAGTGAGGTGTCGCCTCATCGTTCTGAACCCCTTCCCTCACAATAAAAACAAAGTATGTGTGTACAAAATACAGTAATTTATTAACGATATGAAGCTGTTTTACAAGTTGAGAGGCCGAATATAACACACTGTTATTTTTATGATATAAACAATTAGAGCACTATATAGGTGTTAAGAGAATGTAACACACTGTTATTTGTTATGAGATAAATAATTAGAGCACTGTATAGGTGTTAAGTTAATATAAAAGTGTTTCCACATTTAAAAGTAGCGGAACTTGGTTCACACTCTCTAAATCCCAGATATATTTAAAATAAAGTTAAATGTGTAACCGTTTGTTTATAAAACAGCAGGTTGGAGCACAATTAAATAAGTCGAACCTTGTTGAAAGTTAAACAGTTCCAGTGCTGTAGACAGGAAGACTGGTATTATTCAGTAGCTGAGGATACCAGATTCGTCTACTTTGTGTTTCTACAGTTCAACGTGTGTGGGGAAAAGGGTGTAAATAAAACATTCAGACTGTGATAATATGAAACATAAAAATTATTTAGAAACTTTAGGGATATTTTAAATACGATAGTTAATATCGTTATTTTCTAAAAACAACATTTATTATTCAAGATAAAATAACGCACGTGCTATGAGAAGCATAAAACATGCTTCTGTTATCTTAACAGTAAGCTTCACACAATTTTCTCGGCTGTAATTCGCAAGCACCTTCACTTTCGCTAAAACCAATCATCGTTAGCGACGACATCTTTAAAGTAAGAAACTTCCGGGATGGTTCTGGAATCAGACGTAAAGCATAGTCACAAGTAGTTAGGGTCAGTTCCTTTCTCCACGCAGTTGTTACACAGAGAAAGAAAACTTAGCTCAACATGGCTGGTCTTGTCTCTCGGCTGATAATATTTTCAGTCTCACCTTTCACTAGCTCCGCTCATCAGGTATGTAGCTTTCTATCAGTATTAAAAGTACTTAATATAAGGCACAACTTTCACGTTATCTGAGTGTCAGTTTCATTTATAAAACCTTTCACAATTCTTCCTTATCCAATTACATTTGTCGTAAAACAATAGTATTAGGCCTATTATATTTTCAAACATCATAATATTTCTTCGGTCGACTCGTGTATTTTTTTTTTTTTGCGAAAAGAATGGTTTATAAATGTTTTTATTTTAACCGTATTATTTAAGTCATGTCCATTACCGGCGATACGGCTAGGATGTAACACATTAGCGATTGAAGTAATTTGTTAAAATAACAAATATTATCAACAGCTGTCACCTTAAAAGTTATTTTTTTGCCATGTTTAAGACTACTGTAACTTTCCGTTTGAAGTCTAATTATTATTATTATTGAAATCTTTCGAGGTTTATCCGGTTGCATTTCAGCTTTCACAAAATATTTAATTTTATTTATTGCTTCCTGTCGCTTTCTTCATATGTATGTTGTTTTCAATATCTAAGTTAAATGTTTTATTTGTAATATATATGAAATTGTTATATTTACGTTGCAGAAACCAAAATCCCCGATATTTATTGTAAAATTCATGTATTCGTTTAATTCATTACTAAATGGAAAACTCCTGCTTCGTGTACGAAACGATTTTGTTGTTGTTGTATTTTGTATTTACATTCAGAAAGTTTGTAAAATGTAAAGTCTGTGCTGTGAATTTAAAGTAATTAAAACAGCTAAGAGACATGTCTAGACAACTAACGTAAAAGTGACTTACAACGATAAAATCCGAGGCTGGATTCCCTGCAGTGGACACAGCAGATATCCCCATGTGATTTTGTTTTAAAACACACAATTGTTTTAACAAATGTTTACGGTTAGGTGTTGAACTCGACAGTGGTCTGAAAAAACGTTTATTAATTAATATCCTTAACCATTTACAACTGATCGGGATAGGGTTTAATTGACATCGACAGTTACATTGTATCCTTTGTTTTTAATTGAGATCTTCCTAGAAACTTGTTGTTTAACCTGAAAGAGGTTTGTTGTAACATAATGGGCGTCGATGAAATATCTGAAACCATTTCCAAAGTTTAACAAACAGTGTGATTTATAAATATATATATACAGGGTGGGCCAAAAGTAGGGTTACAGTTGACACTTAAACATTTTTCCTTTATTAGAAATTTATAAAATG